GATTTTTTTTGCTTGGCGCATGTATGTGTCCGGGAAGAGTATACACACGGTTGTCCCCCGACGCTGTCCTCGTTTTTTATGCTAATGGCGTATGCTCGCGTGTCTTTTTCTCGTTTTCTTTTCCTCAGCGATATATGCATGTATATACACCCGTCTGCCTCTATATGTGTCCGCTCCTGTCAATGATGCGGTTGATCCCTTCTTTTCCGAGGGGGGCCCGGACTCAGGCTGATCCCGCTTTCATTGAGGTATATGTTTTTCTTTCGCTTTTTTTCTCTTTGTTTCGAGCGCAGTGCTCGAAATTGTGTTGTGTTGATTCACTCGCGGCTTTTTTTTTTACTTATGAGGGTCTGGCAATGGGCTGCTAATTGTTTTGAGGAGGCGGAGCAGTGCGCGATGTAGGTTGATGCTCGCTGTCTTTGCTGCTTCGGCTTCACGCCTCCGAACTGCTCCTGGGGCGACGAGTGTGTGTGTGTGTGTGTGTGGTTTGCCTCTGCGGTCTTGTGCAGCAGCACTGCGTGCGTGGTGCCCTCTCACCGCCGCGCTTCTCCCTCTTGTTCTTGCCGCATCTCTGCAGGTAGCGCTGGGCGGGCGGGCTAGCGCCTCTCGCCGCAGCAGACGTCAGATGTTTGGGCGCAGCGACGCTGCGGCGTTGGTACGTCCTGCCTAGCCGGCGACAGCGGTCTGCCGGGCCTGCGGTGTTGTCTGCGCCTGGCGTTGTGCACGCCGTTCCTCGTGGGTCTTTTCCCCGACATCCGCGGAAATGGTTGAGGTGATGGGCGACATTTTTTGGGAGGGTTTTCTCCCTTCACGCCGCGGCGCGTGCTGTCGGTTTGGGTGCACGTGGGCCGTGTGTAGTGAGACTGCCGGGCTCGCCTCGGTGCCTGTCGCTGCACTCCTGCATCTTTGCCTGGAGGCGGTGGTGGCGGTAAAACACGCATCGTGTGGGGACCGCCGCGGCGTGGGAAGTGTGCTTTAGTGCAGGTTGTGGGAAGTTGCTTCTGTGGGAGGGGCGATCTCTGCCCACCGCGAAGGCCCTCAGCTGTGGGTGGAATGGCGCCTCTCAGGTGTGCGGGGGTGCTGTGCCGCTGGGTTGCGCCCAGTGATGGGGTGTGGTGGTGCCCTGCGAGTGAGGTCGGGGCCATTGTTTTCTTTTTTGGCGAATGTCTGTGGTCGCCGCGTGCGTAGTGCGCCCGGATGCTGGTGGCGGGTCTCTTGTCGGATGGGCGAGTGGCTCGTCCTGGTGCAGGAAGTTTGTATTCGGTTGCCGACGCTCCTCGCTGGGCGCACGGCGTGAGGGACTTTTGCCGTCACTTTGGTCTTCTGCGTCTCTTTTGCTTTTGAGACCCAGCACCCGAAAGGGGAGAAAAAGAAGGAAGTGCACTTGCCAGCTTCACCGCGATAGCGCCCAACAGCACGACCATGGACCAAAGAAGTCCGAGAAGTCCGTTGCAGGGCGTGACGCATGTGCCGGTGGAGCCGCTGAGCGACCCGCCACAGTTGAACGAGAAGGGCGGTGACGCGTTGGACGTGGGCGGCGGCGACAACGGCGACGACGCGCACCACCGCACGAGCGAGGTTGGGGTCGACGAGCACCAGAGGTTCGCGGACCCGTCAGGGATCAGAGTGGGGAAGTATAATATCCCGCCCCGTGTGGTGGCGCCGGTGTGCGTGGTGGCCATTGTCGGGGCTGCCGCGCTTCTCACCTTCACGACGCCGGTGGTGAACGCGGACCCGCGACCGTGGGACCACATCTCGGCGTGGATCGGCTGGGTTTACTTCCTGGCGTGGGGGGTTTCCTTCCTGCCGCAGCTGTACTTCAACATGCGCCGGTGGAGCGTGGTGGGGCAAAGCTTTGA